TAAAGCGGGTTGTAAACAACAAAAAAATATTTTTATGCCTATGGGAAGTAAATTTGGGCAATGCCCCCAAAAAATCTAACCCAAGGTAATCAAATCTTGATTGTGAGTTAAATACTAGATTAGGCGAGGGTTCATTTTTTTTCCATAAAATGCTTTTTTTTGTTGTTGTTCATAGACCCAAAATATAACCGTTTCACTGCACAACCCATTTAATAGTACAGAATTTTCATACTAAAAAAAAAAATATAGCAGCTATAAGAAATAAAACCGCAAAAAATACTACTATGCCTATCACAAGCTTCAATTGTTGTTATACACTGTAAACTATAAATCTTCTAACTCCGTCGAGTCTTCAGACTAGCATTAAAAATTGTGAACTCGGCAATATTCATAACACTGATGCGCCAGAGACGCACGCGTCGCTGATGTCACCACTCTGTCACTAGTGACGTCACAACTATGACGCGGCGGTGACGCTGTACTTGGAACCTCAGCCGCCGTAGCTTTGCTGTTTGCATGTTGATCCTCAGCAGCGCCAGGGACAATGTCTACAGAAAAATTTCTGCTGAAAACAGTTACAAGAATTTCTGTAGGATGTAGGATCTATTGATCGCTGGCATTCTGCCAAACCACCCCCGCCACACTGTCCCGGCTCCTGTTAAGGCTGTTGACGTAGCAGCAACAGGGAAAACGAACGCCCACGTGGATACGAGTCCACCCGCCTGACTTCATCGTTCAGAAACGCACTGACATCAACACTCCTAACAAGTCGTACAATCAATGACACGTAGTATTGTAAAAATGGGAAGAAAATACGAGAAAGTGGTTCAAAATATCTGAACAACAAAAGTTTGCATTGCAACAGTTAGGTTTCAGACCAACAAAATCATGTTTATTATAATATGCTTAGCTACTACGATAGATAAAATTATATAAGAACGACACTGATGGGCAGATATCATTTATTTGGATTAAAAAAAAAAAAAACGTTTTTAAGGAGGATTCCACGAAAGACTTCTATGCAAACTTTAGGTTTTATGAAGGTAAACTGTTACTGTGCAAGGAGCGGTATGACCCTGGTGGGTTTAGTGCTTCCTTTTGATGATGATGATAATAATAATAATAATAATAATAATAATAATAATAATAATAATAATACTCTGCAAGGAAAGATTTTCCCCACTTGAACGAAAAATGAGAGCATTTAAGAGCATAAGAAATAAGGAACACTGCAACAGGCCTACTGACCAATGCGGACCAGGTTAATGTCCCCCCCCCGGATTAGCCAAATGACCCACCCAGTCTGGTCACCTCCACTCAAGGAAGGAGCACGGCACCAGACCCAGCAGCACAAGCTACTCGGGTCCAACTCTCACCCACTCATGTGTTTATCTAACCTATTTTTAAAACTACACAACGTTTTAGCCTCAATAACTACTCGGGAGTTTGTTCCACTCATCCACAACTCTATTACCAAACCAGTGCTTTCCTACATCCTTCCTGAATCTGAATTTTTCCAACTTGAAACCATTGCTGCGAGTCCTGTCTTGGCTGGAAATTTTCAGCACGCTATTTACATCCCCTTTACTTATACCTGTTTTCCATTTATATACACCTCGATCATATCCCCCATAATTCTACGCCTTTCGAGAGAGTGCAGATTCAGGGCCCTCAGTCTATGCTCATAGGGAAGATTTCTGATACTTGGGATCATCTTTGTCATCCTCCTCTGTACGTTTTCCAGAGCATTTATATCCATTCTGTAATACGGTGACCAGAACTGAGCAGCATAGTCTAAATGAAGCCTAACCAAGGATATATAGAGTTGAAGAACAACCTGAGGACTTCTATTACTTATACTTCTAGATATGAAGCCAAGAATTCTGTTAGCTTTATTGCGAACACTAATGCACTGTTGTCTTGGTTTTAGATTACTGCTAACCAGAATTCCTAAATCCTTTTCGCAATCAGTAGTATTAAGATCTACATTATTTAGTTTATATGTCGCATGGTTATTTTCTTGTCCAACATTTACAACTTTGCATTTGTCTATATTAAACTGCATCTGCCACTTCTCAGACCATTGCATGTCTATTCAAATCATCCTGGAGTGCTCTAGTGTCCTCATTAGAATAAATTGGACGGCCTATTTTGGTGTCATCAGCAAATTTGCTTATGTCGCTAATTATTCCCTCATCCACGTCGTTTATGTAAATTGTGAACAACAACGGGCCCAACACTGACCCCTGAGGAACACCGCTTGTGACGTGCCCCCATTCTGATTTCTCCCCATATATGCAAACTCTCTGCAAATGTTCTTGCTGGGAAAATGTCAACCTGTAGTGTAGACAGACTATCAATCTGTAGATGATTCCGGGGTGAAAGGTCGTCGTCATCGTGGCCAGGTCTTGGACCATGCCTTCTAGCTGATGACCTGGTCAGCCTGGCTGTTTGGTGATAACTGCCCACATTTGAACATAGCCACCACAGCCCAACTGATCAGTTGTTTTTAGGAGCAACTTGACAAGTTCCCTGTTGAGGACAGACAGCAGTCTTTTGATAATTTCCCTTATATATGCCAATCAAAGAGGGGGGGGGGGATGCCTTGATGCTGGTGAAGAAATCTTGAGCCAAAGATTTGGAGGTATCCTCTCCTTCAATGGATTAAACCTGATTGCCTCTCATTTTCCAGGTGCTGACTAATATATATATCTGGTGCTTTATCATGATTACCCTAGTACAACAGCAACAAAAAACAAAGAATAGAAAATAAGAAACGACAAAAACAATAAGACCGGAAACAAAAACGGCAATTACTCTTATACACATGTAAGGAGGGTGCTGAAAAATTTTGAGCCCCCTTACCCTTATCAAGTTTTCTCTGTATATTGCCCCTGCTTTACATCGGGGTATTTGTGCAGTCTACCATGTCTGATGCTCTCGTAAGGGGTTATTTTAGCATATAAATTTGGAACCTATCCCTCCAGTATTTTCCATATGTAAATTAAAAATACATCTTCCTCGTCTGTGCTCCGGGGATAACATGACGAAGTATCAATATCCGCCCTGCTGATATAAATAATATGACAGAATTTGATATTAGTTTCAAGAAGTAAATAATAGAGGGATATAATAAGTATTCGTGAAAGGTGTATATTCGATGTAGATAAGAGTTTGTAGGATTTACCTGTCAGCTTACACAATCGTGGAACAAATAACAGAACTCATTCCAGAGTGCCATACACTTAACAGGATTTCGTTTCATTCGCATGACTTGGCAGACGTGGTAAAAAAAAACACTACAGAAATGGTTTCAAAATAATGCAAAGAATCCCATACAAAATAATAAATATAAATTATTATAAATCCTTACAAGAATAAGTTAAGCAAATAGTGACTGACAAAGGATAAAACAATCTTTATAAACACCACAGATATGGAAGAAAGCAAAAAACAGACTACATTAAGAAGAATGTGGTAATGTGTGTAAAGTGTCCAGACATATTACAAAATAGTTTGTGTTGTTTTAAGTGTTGACATGCAATGACTCCCACAACTGGAAAGCAAGTTATGAAAAAATGAAAATGTCCTTCTGTTTAACACAATAAAATGAGACATGATAACCGTTTAATATAAAATGACGCAAAATAACAGGATCAACAGGCAGAACAAGAGGCCATAACCGTAAATCGATGATAACAGTGCTGCTAGTATACATTACAAATGGTAGGGCAGAATACTAGACTGGGATGTAGGAGGTAGTATGTGCTACAAGAGACTTAAACATTATGACAAATAATGACACACCACGAGCATAGCTCTGTTCCTGTAGCGACGTATAACTGTAATGTGTATAAAATAAATTACTGATCTCATAATTATAAAACTTGGAGCAGCGCTGTATAACCCTTATGGGTTTAGCGCTTACTTATGATTATAATAATATTAAATTTGTAAGGTGACTGTTCAGCAAAAAGTAACTGCTGGCTCTGGAACCGCCTTAACAAACATCGATATTATACTACGCATACTATCCTCATAGCGCTTAAGTGCATTCACCGAGAGGACTCAAACACACTCAAATAATCACGTTTACATTTATTTACCACCAGTCTTCAGCCAAAACGAGACACCTACGTTTATTTAGGACACTGAAATTCAAATGTTATTTTCTCATGCTTCGTCAGTTCTCTAGATGTTTCCTCATTTCCTGTTCACCCATAAAAAAGAAACCTTCCCATTGTGTACTACTGCGTTTATGTTACTTTTACAATTGGTTATATGTAGCTAATTAATATTAACTTAACCTAAATAACGTCAGTTGAGAAATCGGCTTTAGCTAATTTAGTACAACACATTGTTGAATATTCTAGGCAATGAACACTTCATTTCGACAAACTACATTTGCCGAGATATTGCCATTATTTATAATAATAAGTAGAACCCAATTATTCAATACTTTTTTTAATAAATATGAAGCCGCAGTGTCACGCCACACACTCGATACTGAGGATAAGGATACCCCCCATCATCAGAAGGCGGACGTGGGAAAAAGGATAATGATGCAATTTCAACGTTTATAAAAGAACCTGGATAAAAAAAATGCAATTTGATACCAGTCTTCTTAGTGATTTCTTGTAATTAGTCGAGAAAGAAAATAAGTGTGCTATAGCACTTATATAATTTACTGCTCTAATTTTTTAAGACCCTTTTTTAACATTTAATGCTTGTGTATGTCTACTTGCCATAATTTAAAAGAATATTTGTATTTAAAAATATATATAACCCCAATTATGTTTATGATCGAAACATGTTTATTTTTTATCAAAAGTTTGAAGTAACGCATTTTACAGCTACCCTGATCTGGTAACACTGGTCAACAATTTTTGAAAAGTTGTATGCTTCTTAATGAGATTAATTCTTATGTATTTTCATGTTCTGAATCCAAATATCACCTTGAAAAATGCTTACTGGCTATAGGTTTAAAGATATGATACATGTAATATTTGATTATTTTATTATAACGTACAATATGTGTCAGTATGGTTTAAACTCTAATCCGTACTTACTCTCTGCCTTTTTGCATGACGCTTATAGTGGGCTGAAGAATCATCTCTTGATAATGTCCAGCAATAGTCTGCAAGCATTCTTGTGCCCCATTTGGCCTGGTACCATTTTTCCATGGTTGAAATATCTTGGTGAAACCTTTCGCAATGTTCATCACTAACTTCCCCACAGTTCGCTAGAAAAAAGTCTAAATGCGAGTCCAAAAAGTGGACTTTAAGTGACATGTTACATCTCATGTTCTTGTGAGCCTTGATGAGGTTTTCCACCAATTCTTCATAGTTACCTTCCCCTCTGTTTCCGAGAAATCCCTTCGCCACTAACTTGAATGCTTCCCAAGCAGCTTTCTCCTCCCCATGAAGGTCTGATTCAAAGTCACCAACTTTAAGAAGCTCTCGAATCTAAGGACCATTGAAGACTCCCTCTCTTATCTTAGTGTCCCTCAGTAAGGGGAATTTTGATGTAAATACTTGAATCCCTGACGAGAAACTGAAGGTTAGTAGCACAACTGTTGCAGCTTATGTGTGGAGCCCAGTTCTTATCCTGATCACCAATCTTGCATCCAAAATATAGGTGATATGCCTTTCTAATCATATCAGTTATATGGCGCTTCTGTGTTGCAAGGGTTACATCACCACAAATGTAGCAAAGGTTGTCTGTACTAGTCACACAAGTACGAGGCATCTGAAAGAAGAAAACAAACAATTAGAAGAGAAACAGAAAATTTATTCATTAATTTATCATTATAATACAGAGCATGATATTAAGCATAAGTATTTATATCATTCAGCAGGAAAATAAAATTAATATAATATGCCTCACATGCATATCAAGATCTTGCTCAGTGAATATTTATATTGTTTAAAAGGTATTTGGCTAAGAAAATCACGTACCTTTTACCTCAAAATATGAGCTTGCACATCACAACCACCTTCTATGACTGCTGGAACAATAATGAAGGTCAGTGAGACTGAGTGTGGTAAGAAACATACTGCCGCAAGCCTGTTGGAACCTGTTGTGACACGGAGATGTACAGTATATTGAAAAGGAAAGCTAACAAACAATTTTAACCATGATATTCATTATCTTACCTAGTTGGAAATTGCTACTCTGGTCTCGGAAGCATTTTGGTTGTTGACCAGTGTAATGTATTGGTAGAGAGCAACCATCCAAGGAGGAGCTACCGTCCTGCTAAGCGTGCGTGAAACGTAAACATTTTAAACGTTTTATACTGGCATTATCGTTTTTTTTTCACCAACAGTTAAGATAACAAGTACGTATATCTTACAAACTCCTACAATACACGTATCATTACTTACTGCCTGTTTCTTCTTTTTCCTGTAAAATTCCATTACAATTTACTTGGAGTGGTCTGAGATCGGGCCGCGGGAGCAATGATCCTGAAACCCTAATCAGATATAAACAGACACATGACAGTTTGCAAAGTTAGAGCAGTTGCTAGTTTTACAAAATACACTATCGAGCAAAATAGTTGATAATGCAATGATTTCCTGCATTAACTTCAAGTACAACTTGCATCCTTCCATAAGCTGGATTGAATCCTAAAAAAAAATATTATAGTTTTAAAGTATTATAGCTCATATCCCATCTGTTTATACTGGCAATTATGTCGATTATAATTTGGACGATAAAGAGAAAATATGGCAGGGGAGGGGTAGGCATTTGGCAGGTAGTGACATAACTTTAGCATTATATACAATGTCGTAAGTCACTTCTACTGTGATGGATATGTGGGTCACCGGGTCACCAGCAGCAACAGTCTGGTTGATCAGGCAAGCCCGAAACGAGCCTGGTCTAAGGCCAGACTCTGGGAGTAGAAAAATTCTCGCAACTCATCAAAGGCATATCAAAGGTAAGGTACTTTAAAATATTAAAAACGATTACAAGGGTAAACGGAGCAATGCATACTACTACAGAATCTGATGACGAATAGACTTGAATAAAGCATTTACAGAATAATATACACGCTCTCACGTACGCAGGCCTACACATATACAAGAAATAAATTAATGCCTAAAACAGTGTCGGCACTTTACCATTTTTTGGTTAGACAGTGACAATAAACAACAGTCCATCTTTTAGTGTACTACATTTGCTTGATATCTATGCTCGTATCTTGTTTCGGGAATCATCGTCCCCACGGCCTGGTCTTAGACCAGACCTTCTAAATGGGGAACAAAATATTATGAATAAGAAACAAAAATATGCGTATGCTGGATGGGAGATGTTTATTTGTTCATAAGACTGAAAAAAAGACGAATTCTTTCCAGTTTATGTTCTACACTCGCATGAATTGACAGTTTACCTCCCTGGATGGTTGCTGTGCACCAATATATTACTCAAAAAAAAACAGCCAACATTGCGCAATAAAATATTAGCAATTAGCTATATATAAAGTAGTTACGAAAAATAGGGAGAAATTATTTAGTAGTTAAAATATAATGGGTTAAGAAATTAACTGGTATTGTATCTTATAGAATTTACAAAATTAAACGAGAGGAATGTAGCTAAAGATGTCAAGAGAGGTGCAACTCGCAACTCGAGTGTTATTCAAGGTGAGGCATGTTACAGCATTAACCAGCTCTGACATATAAAAGCAATATTTCTTATACTAACATCCTGTCTGAGATGAGAACGCCTAATCAGAAGAAACCGCTCTAACTTATTTAAGCTTCAAGCACGAAATATCAAGGTAACTATGAGAGAAACATTTCAAAATTAGTAGTTTTGCACCCCCTGTCAGCAGAGTGAAATACAACTGCTACAAAAAGATCAGCATATTAAAAAGAAGTTCTAAACTCGTGTAGGTCATAAAACAATAGTAAACATTTTAGACTACTCTTGTTGTCTAAAACAATGTGACGACCTAGTTCAAGCTCAAAAGGCTTATGTGAAAATATTAAAAGTTAAAACTTTATTAGCCATGCAATTTACTAAGATAAAATATTCAAATTGTGTATACACCCGAAAACCTTTGAAGTTTATTTTTGGATAATTTCTTGTTCGATGAATTTAATGTCAACCAACAAATGGAAAATAATTACACGAGCGTTAAAAGTAAAACAGTTGTTTATTTTTTAATTACAAAACAATACTGCATATTGTGCGACCTTTCCTGCTTGCCTTTCACGTTATGTAGAGCTGGAGGCGTCCTTCACTGAGGCCAACAGACGGGTGGTGCAGGCCTGACGTCGTCATCGATGTCTGGTGGGGTGAAGGTCAGCCAGATGATATGTGAACCCTGCTCACTGCTGACTCATATACACTGTGCAGGGAAATATGTAGCCAGGTCAAGGTCCAATCCCTTACAGAGGAACCGCGCTCGATTCACATGTTTGGCTAGCTGTATAGCCAAGTCTCCTTACCTACTGCTCGTATTTATCTAACAGTTTATAAATAGGTACTTGGGTGTTAGACGACTTCCACCCAGGTAGATCTGTTTGTGACTCGATGAAGCCCAGTGTGTGGGCGAAACGTTGTCAATAAAGGATCACATTATACTGCATATGACTTTTATGATTTCAATCCTAGGGGTGGAGTTTACCTATAGATTATTTTGAGGGTCAACGCCCCCGCGGCCCGGTCCTAGACTAGGCCTCCCAGTGGATCAAAGCCTGATCAACCTGGCTGTTACTGCAGGCAACACGCAATTCGGCGTACGAACCAAAGCCCGGCTGATCGGTCACTGACTCTAGGTATCTGTCCTGTTCCCTCTTGAGGACAGTCAGCGATCTATTGATAATTCCCCTCATGTATGATGGGAGGCTGTTGAACAGTCTTGGGCCCCAGATACTTAGTTTTTTTCCTTAGTGTACTCATGGCACCCCTGCTTTTCATTGGGGGTATGTTGAACCGTCTGCCGAGTCTTTTGCTTTCGTAGGGAGTGAATTGCATTAGATTTGGGACCAGTCCCTCTAGGATTTTCTAGGTGTAACTTACGATAAATTTTTCTCACATACATTCCAGGGAGTACAGGTCAAGGAATTTCAAACGTTCTCAGTAATTAAAGTTTCCTGACTGAACTAATAAGTGCAATGAAGGTACTCTGTATATTCTCTAGATCTACAATTTCACCTGCCTTGAATGTGGCTGTTAGTGTAAATTAGTATTCCAGTATAGAGTGAACAAGTTACCTAAAGAGGATCACCAGTGGCACGAAATCCCTTATTTTATAAGTTCTCATTATCCATCCTATCATTTTCATCGCAGATGTGATGCTGACACTGTTGTGATCCTTAAAGATGATATCCTCTAACATTATCACTCCCAAGTCTTTCACATTAGATTTTCGTTCTATTCTGTTAGAATTTGTTGAATATTCCATTCTAGCTATTATTTCCTCAAGTTTTCCCTAATGGGGTAACTGAAATTTATTATAATTTTGCGGACCACTGGAAAACTTGGCTTGTATCCGCCTGGAGATTTACCGTGTCAATGGATGATATTCGTGAAGATTCTAGTATCGTTTGCAAAGGAACACACGGTGCTATGGTTAACATCTCTGTGTCTGATATGAAAATGAGGAAAAGGATGGGGGAAAGTACTGTACCTTGTGGAACAGAACTTTTCATTGTGAGCCTCCAACTTAATTGTTTACCATTACTCTTCTGAGTTCTGTTTGTTAGAAAGTTGAGGCTACATCTGCCCACTTTTCCAGTTACTCCTTTAGCACACATTTTGTGCTCTAATACACCACAACTGCACTTACTGAAGGCTTTTGAAAAGTTTGTGTATACTACATCCGCAGTGTTTGTCCTTCAGTTCATCCAAGACCATGTCATAGTGGTCTAGTGGCTGCAAAAGGCAGGACGGACCTGCTCTAAACCCATGTTGCCCTGGGTTGTGCAAATGTTGGTAATCCAAGTGGCTGGCAATCATGCTTCTTAGATGCATTTCAAAGATTTTTTTTTATAATGTTGGACGTTAGCGCTGTCGGTCTATAATTATTTGCTATTGCTGTGCTGCCACCTTTATGAAGTGGGGCTACTTCCGTTGTTTTTAACGACTATAGGGTGACCCCCGTGTCCAGGCTCCCTCTCCATAGCATACTTAGGGAACACGAAAGGGATTTCCTATGGTTCTTGACGAACACGGAATTCTACAAGTCTGGACTTGGGGCCCAGGTTCGTTCATTTAAGTTCAATTTTTTCTACTTTTCTACTCAGATAGTCGAGCCCCCTTGAGAAACTCAGTGATTTTTCACCTTCACCTGTAGAGGGTGCATCGCTCTCTTTCCAGATTACATACTCTCCTTTTTTTCTTAGGGAAATGCGCCTTAAGCATACTTCAACTGCCAAGTAGCTGATCCTTTCAAAGACACTGGTTCAGATCAGTGTTAAGATAACTTTCCCAGCATGTTTCATTAAGGACATTTTTTTTTTTATCCCAGTTGAGGTTCTTGTTGACTGTGATGAAGGTATTTTTGACTATATGTATTTTGCTAGTCAGGACCCCTGTACAAACAAGTCTGAACTTCGATTAGGTTGTGATCTGAATTAACTTTGATACTGTTATATTTCGTACCAGGTCATCATTATTCGTGAAAATAAAGTCAACTGTGTTTTCCAGAATTGTTGGCTCCACTGTTTTCTGGTTTAAGACGAATTTATTAGATTCAGCAGCTCGTGCGTGTGCGTGCGTGCGTGCGTGCGTGCGTGTGTGTGTGTGTGAGAGAGAGAGAGAGAGAGAGAGAGAGAGAGAGAGAGAGAGAGAGAGAGAGAGAGAGAGAAATTTTCATCTGAGCTGCTTCCTGGGATTATCTCTAACATTACTGGCTACATTCTTCCCCTGTGTATGTCTTAAACTGTCATTGAGCATCAAAATATTTTGGGCTGGGGATGGAAGATTTTTCAGACTAATCAATTTTCAACTGTTCCTTGAACTGTTGGGAAGTTGCATCTGGCGACTTATACAACCAAAATCACTAGGTTTTGGTTCTCTCAATATTTATTGCTAAAACTTCAATTACATGATTTGTGGTGTTCAGTAAACTCTGTGCAAGTGTGCGACTCTGATATATTGGCCAACCCTCCCTCGTTGCTTGCTCTTTCTGTCACATCTAAATAAGTTGTACCCTGTTATCCATATTTCGCTATATATATATATAGTGGTCTTTTGTGTGGGTATCTGTGAAGGCAGCAAACATTTGATTATGAGTAGTACAAGATGTTACACGTTAGACAGGGCTGGGCTTTGAAATTTAAACCATATAAAAATGGTGAGAGATGAATGCTAAAATAGTCGTCATGCAAGGTCAAGATTAGTTACCTTTTAAGATGCTACGGTTTCATGATATTAGATGTATGTGATACATCTAAGGATGCAGCGAGATGCCTCTTTATTAGAAAAAAAACCAGTTGGAGTGTGATGGGTTGCCTGCAGTATTAAGCAATATGCTCCTCACTCTTAAGTGTTTCTGTAATATCCATAAATGCAAGCTTTATATGCTAGTTTGTGCCTAAGATAATCTTAGGTATGTTTACCATAACCTTTATTATTAATATAACCCAATAAAGACCTATAGCAACTGTTACAACATCGTCAAAATATTATTCTGCTAAATACAACTCGAGTTCGTGAAGACTACACATTATAAACTTATGATTAAAATAAAACCATCTGTGTCGAGACGAGCATCCTAGTTATCAAAGGAACGAGAGATTTGCAAATTCAGCTGTACACCGCGTACACCAATTTCTTAAATCTTTCCAATGAATCTGAAGGTAAATTATTATAAATTATTTGCTTAAGACAACGACTGGTATAAATCCATACTGTAGGCCTCTTACAGAATTGTGGGATACAACGAACTGCAAAATTTTCAAATGGGATGTACCGTGGAGATACACACCATGCTTGTATCGTTTAGAGTGATGAATTAAATACAATCTTAAATGAGAATTGAGTAGGAATGTGTGTTCGTTTGGTTGTTATAATCACCCAGTTGTATCTTTACCTTTGATGTTCCTCTGGTGTGTTTCGAGAGTCGCTACTCTTGCAACCCGGCCCTGGGTCAGCTTGGGTCAACTTTGCAAGCGGCAAGTTGAGGGGCGGGGCCGAGATGGGACTCAACCCATAGCTGGCTAGCTGGTCTAGTGGCTAACGCGACGGGCTGGAGTTTTGAGACTATGACCGCGGGTTCAATCCCGGCCGGGGTATGGTTTGTTTGCAATCGTGTCATTACGATTTCGTGAGTCATGGGACTCAACCCTTGCAATCACATCTAGGTGAGAAAGTGGGCGGGCGGGCACGCGAACGCAACCCCCCTCCCCCTGCACCCACGCGCATGCACACAAACGCATGCGCGCACACTCACACACAACACGAACGCACCCATACGCATTTGTCCCCACTTCTTTAATTTTTATCAACCGATTTAACCGAGTCTTGGCCTCCAGGGTCCGATCATATCTACTATGTAGTACTGGTCGCCACCACCTCTTCATTTTACTTGTTACAGTAACCACCCAAAGACTGTAAAAGATCTTTTTAACATCCATGCTGCTTGAAAGTGTCTTGAGCTGCCATTTATGTCCCATGGTGTCTTCTTGTATTTTAATAAACCTTTCCATACGCACTCTATTTAATCTTCTGATAAGGCTTTCTGTTGTAATCATGTCACCTCCAAGGAAATAAGATTGCAAAAACTGCTAGCACCAAATGTGACTGAAAAATATCAAACTTCTGTAGCTGAATATGACAGTATGTATAAATCATTCTAAAAGAAAACGCGAGTTTATGAACAATTTACTAAGCCACGTTCGCCTAATGATGATAGTTGTGGTTTTCCAAAGTTGACTCCCATCAGGCTTCCTATTAGTAGTTACCCGGACGCTGTTAAATCAGTAAACATACTTCGCGGTTCAGTACATGATTAGTTTTTCTATAACGTTAGAATTATTTTCTATATTTTTACAAGCTACCATACACTAAGAAATCTGTCATGGCACAGGACATTAGGAAACCAACATTTAACTTTTAAAATGATAACATCATCATTTTAAAAGGTAATTTTTTAAAAGCTAAATCTTTTATGAACTTTACTTTCCTACTAGCTGCCTACATACAAAAACACCCCCATCCACACACAGCACTATTATGAAACCAACACCTGAAAAAGGATGATAAGAAACTGGAAAGAGTGCAGACATACGCAACGAGGCTTGCTCTAGAGATAAGGGGGTATGAGGTACAAGAGGAGGCTAGCGGAACTGAGTCTAACGACATTACATTACCGAAGAAACACGCAAGAGAAAAAAAAAAAACACTCGGGGACAGGCTGTTGGAGAGGCGAGAAAAGGTACCCAGGAGAATAGCTGGAAGTTAAAGGCAGATAACCTCGATGGTGCACACAGGCTCCATAAATAGTTTTTCGAGTAGGTAAGATAGGGACCATGATACAGAGGAAGTAAAATTGGCAAACGGCGGGGCTGAGTTACGACTCGACCCTTGCAACCACACATAGGTGACCGCCCACACCCATTCACACGAAGGCACCCGCACACGAGCGAGCCTATGAACCCTCACGCACCCACAACAGCATCCTCAACAGCAGCCAACATGGTTTCAGTGATGGGAAATCTCGTGTCACAAACCTACTGGAGTTCTATGACATGGGGACAGCAGTAAGACAAGAGAGAGAGGGGTGGGTGGATTGCATTTTCTTGGGCTGCAAAAAGGCGTTTGACACAGTTCCACACAAGAGATTAGTGCAAAAACTGGAGGACCAAGCAGGGATAACAGGGAAGGCACTACAATGGATCAGGGAATACTTGTCAGGAAGACAGCAGCGAGTCATGGTACGTGGCGAGGTGACAGAGTAGGCACCTGTGATCAGCGGGGTCCCACAGGGGTCAGTCCTAGGACCAGTGCTATTTCTGGTATTTGTGAACGACATGACGGAAGGAATAGACTCCGAAGTGTCCCTGTTTGCAGATGACGTGAAGTTGATAGAGAAGAATTCATTCGATCGAAGACCAGGCAGAACTACAAAAGGATCTGGACAGGCTGCAGACCTAGTCCAGCAATTGGCTCCTGGAGTTCAACCCCACCAAGTGCAAAGTCATGAAGATTGGGGAAGGGCAAAGAAGACCGCAGACGGAGTACAGTCTAGGGGGCCAGAGACTACAAACCTCGCTCAAGGAAAAAGATCTTGGGGTGAGTATAACACCAGGCACATCTGAAGCGCACATCAACCAAATAACTGCTGCAGCGTATGGGCGCCTAGTAAACCTCATAACAGCATTCCGACATCTTAATAAAGAATCGTTCAGGACCCTGTACACCATGTACGTTAGGCCCATATTGGAGTATGCGGCACCAGTTTGGAACCCACACCTAGCCAAGCACGTAAAGAAACTAGAGAAAGTGCAAAGGTTTGCAACAAGACTAGTCCTAGAGCTAAGAGGTATGTCCTACGAGGAGAGGTTAAGGGAAATCAACCTGACGAAACTGGACGACAGGAGAGATAGGGGGGACATGATAACGACATAGAAAATACTGAGAGGAATTGACAAGGTGGACAAAGACAGGATGTTCCAGAGATGGGACATAACAACAAGGGGACACAGTTGGAAGTTGAAGACACAGATGAATCACAGGGATGTTAGGAAGTATTTCTTCAGCCACATAGTAGTCAGGAAGTGGAATAGTTTGGGAAGCGATGTAGTGGAGGCAGGATCCATACATAGCTTTAAGCAGAGGTATGATAAAGCTCACGGTTCAGGGAGAGTGACCTAGTAGCGACCAGTGAAGAGGCGGGGGCCAGGAGCTTGGAATCGACCCCTGCAACCTCAACTAGGTGAGTACATGGCGAGGGTCCGGGTTTGATTCCCAGCGAGGATAGAAACATTGGGCGTTTCTTTACACAGGTTGTCTATGTTCCCATCAGTAATATGGGTACCTGGTGTGGGTTGTATCCTGGGACAAAACTGACCTAATTTGCCCCAAGTGCTGTGCATAACAAGCGGCTTTCTATATAGCAGTATGTCATGGATGTCAGCTAAGTCTGTATACCATGTGTATGTACTTGTAGAAATTAAAATATTATATATTATATTACACGCACACACATTGTGTGCACTCACCTCGTTGTGGTTGTAGGGGTCGAATCTCAGCTCCTGGCCCCGCCTCTTCACTGGCCGCTAATCAGCCACTCAACCTGCTCCGTGAGCTTTATCATACCTCTCCTTAAAGCTATGTATAGATCCTGCCTCCACTACATCACTTCCCAGACTATTCCATTCCTGACAACTCTGTGACTAAAGAAATACTTCCTGACATCCCTGTGGTTCATCTGAGTCTCCAACTTCCAACTGTGACCCTTTGTTGCTGTGCCCCATTTCTGGAACATCCTGTCTCTGTCCACCTTGTCGATCCCTCTCAGTATTTTATATGTCGTTGTCATATCCCCCCTATCTCTCCTGTCTTCCAGTGTCGTCAGGGTGATTTCCCTTAACCTTTCCTCGTAGGACATACCCATTAGCTTCGAGACTAGTCTTGTTACAAAACTTTGCACTTTCTCTAGTATCCTTACATGCTTGGTTAGGTGAGGGTTCCAATCTGGCGCTGCATACTCCAGTACAGGCCTAATGTACACAGTGTACATGGTCCTGAATGTCTCCTTATTAAGATGTCGGAATGGTGTTCTCAGGTTTGCCAATCGCCCGTATGCTGCCGCAGTTATTTGGTTGATGTGCGCCTCAGGAGATGTGCCCAGTGTTATACTTACCCCAAGATCCTTTTCCTTCAGTGAGGTTTGTAGTCTCTGGCCCCCTTAACTGTACTCCGTCTGTGGTCGTCTTTACCCTTCCCCAATCTTCATGACTTTGCACTTGGTGGGGTTGAACTCCATGGGCCAGATGCGGAACCAGTCCTGCAGTCTGTCCAGATCCCTCTGTGGTTCTGCCTGGTCCTTGTTCGACTGATTTCTCATCAACTTCACATCATTTGCAAACAGGGACACTTCGGAGTTTATTCCTTCCGTCATGTCGTTCACAAATACAAGAAACAGTACCGGTCCTAGGACTGATCCCTGTGGCACCCTGCTCGTTACAGGCGCCTACTCTGATACCTCACCACGTACCATGGCTCGCTGTTCTCCTCCCTGATCCACTGCAGTGCCTTCCCTGTTATCCCTGCTTGGTCCTCCAGCTTTTGCACTAATCTCTTGTGTGGAACTGTGTCAAACGCCTTCTTACAGTCCAAGAAAATGCAATCTACCCACCCCTCTTTCTTGTCTTACTGCCGTCACCCTGTCATAGAACTCCAGTAAGTTTGTGACGCAGGATTTCCCATCCCTGAAACCGTGCTGGCTGTCGTTAAGCTCATTCCTTTGTGTGTGTGTGTGTGTGTGTGTGTGTGTGTGTGTGTGTGTGTGTGTGTGTGTGTGTGTGTGTGTGTGTGTGTGTGTGTGGTGTGTGTGTGAGAGAGAGAGAAGAGAGAGAGAGAGAGAGAGAGAGAGAGAGAGAGAGAGAGAGAGAGAGGAGAGAGAGAGAGAGAGAGAGAGAGAGAGAGAAAGAGAAAGAGAAATCACTGCATAACTAGATATGATGTGCAGTGAAGCTAGGCTGGGTATTATTTTGGCCAACTTATTTTTATGCAATAAATCTCATTTAGCATTAACTACACTGTATATATCCAGATGTATATTATACACTGAGATGAAGTGTATGTACACTTACCTGACGGTTGCTAAAAGACGTTTCAAGGGTCACCGCTTCCGTGCCCCAGTGCCAGACCAAGCCTCCTTGTTGATGGCCTGATTAATCAGACTGTTAGAGCTAGTCGCGCGGAGTTCAGCGTATGTATCACAGCCACGCTGATCACGAAATGACTTTAGGAATTTATCGAGTTCCCTCTTGAAGACAGCTAAGGGTCTGTTGGCAATTCCAGTTAAGTATAAAATGAGGGTGTTGAAAAATCGTGGTCCCTTTACACTGAGTTATCTCTAGTGTATTTATTGCACCCCTGATTTTCATTTAATATATTTTGCGCCATCTGCTGAGCCTCTTGTTTTCGTAAGGAATGATTTGGGTTTTCAGATTTGGGATCAATTCCCCCAGAATTATCAAACATTCTCTATAATTTAGGTACTATATTGAATTTATGAGAGCAGTCAAGTTTCTCTGTACATTTTCAACACTGCGATTTCGCCTGCCTTAAAAGGTACTTTTAGTAATATTCCAGTGTAAAAAGAACAAGCATCGTTAAGATTTACCCTCAATGGATGCCACTCAAACAAATTCTATTATCATCAGCTAAGATATAGAGATAGATTCGTGTCTATACAGGATATGAGAATGATGAAGTCATTGGGGCGAGTACTATACCTTAAGGGACAGAGCTTTTCATTATGGCTGCCTCTGATTTTACTATGTTCACTATTATTCTTGATAACTGGGGGAGGTGACCACCAGAAATCCTTCAGGTAACCAAGTACCATTGGCGTTATATTTCATGTTCTGAATGTTCTTGGAATCCATCGTGCCATTTTTCTGGAGTTTACTATACTTCACTGTGTTCTCTAAATGACATATCTGACGTTATTATACCTAAATTATTCTTGTGTTCCGCATTCTGTGGTCGTCTTCATTAATTCAAAAGCAACTGAAATGTGTCGCCAATGTACATCTAACTTACATACATATTTTAGTACCAGATATCGTTCGCAAAGAATGATACGAAGCTGTGACTAGTGTTTTTAGTTGTCTGCTATGAGGAGGAGGAGGAGGATAATAATAATAATAATAATAATAATAATAATAATAATAATAATAATAATAATAATAATAATAATAATAATAATAATAATAATAATAATAAAACAGCAAAGGGGCTATGACCATGTTTTTGAGTATTTAACCTTCACTTTGCAGAGCTCAGCTTTGCTTTGTTTACTGCTACTCTTTGCGCTCTGTTAGAAGTTTAAATATCCATTCCCCTACTTTCCTGTTATACCTACTGATCTTATTTCATGGGTTATCACTCCACGTTCACATTTGCCAAATACCTTTGCAGAATCCATGTAACAATATCTGAGTTTTAGTTTT